GGTAAACACAAAGGCAACTAACAATCCTCTTACATGAGCTGTAAGATCACTTACAGCCCATGTAAGAGGTGACAAGGAAAGGACTTGATGGTGCTAGAATGATAGAGCCAACTGGATTCTCCACAGGGACATCTGAGCAAGAAAGAGGGGAAACTCGGACTGACCAGAAGTCTCAGGGACACTCAGGGATACTGGAAGGGAAAGAGCTGCTGTGGGTGGGTATTAATAATGATAATAATAATAAAAATAAACATCTGACTAGAGGGGTGCTTGCTTGACGCAAACTCAGAGTATGAAGAAGGGCTTAGGGGTGGATATAGAAGAAACTAACGTGCACTACAGCAGCACAGTAAAGCGCTTCTGCTGTGACAGTAGCAACATCCTGATTAAACACATCAATGCATCCATTACAAAGATTACATAGAACTCTTCCTCCAGACATGAGATGGGAAACAGCTGACCACACCATAAATGCTGACTGGAAACTATCTCTGTCCACACACACACACACACACACACCTACACACACAAACACACACACACAAACACACACACACACACACACGCAGGTATAGATCTGTTACCTTCAGGATGATGCTGTCACCATCAAAGACTAACAGCACACATCAAAGGTTTTCGAAAGTGTGTAGAAGTGAGCGTGTGTGGAAAAAAGTAGGAAACAAGGAGAGGCAGAGAACAAGAGTGTGTGTGTGTGTGTGTGTGTGTGCACTCGTGCTTGTTTGTGTACTGATGTGTGTGTGAACAGTAGAGAATGAGCGTAAATCGGCAAATGCTGAGGTTTTAACGAGTCTAATCACCCAAACACCTCCTGCTGACATTTACAGTCCTTGCCGATGGGGTGGCGTGACCACACACACACACACACACGCACACACATTTTCAGTCTCTAAACGGGACAAACAACTTGCTTTCTTCTCTAGTTGAAGGACACGGTGACCACACAACCGCGGCGCGTCTTCCTCTCGCTCATGCGGACGCACATTTTCTTCTTCTGCCTTCGTTTATTTATAATGTCGCATTAACTGCAGACTCTGCTTACGCGCGAACACAAATGTGCGCACACAGCGATGCAATGGCAAAACTGAATGTGCATGTCTGCTGATTCACATGTGCCGTATACTTCCATCAGAGCTCCGCGGGGATATCAGCAGGGGGTGTGTGTGGTCAGTAAATACTCAGGGGAGGTTACGAATAACACACACACACACACACAAACACACACACACAGTCTCTGTTCTTTGTCATCAGTCTCTCACATCAGTCAACTTGGCCTCTCAAACTTTTTTTTTGTCACAGCAAATGACACCAGCTCTTGGAGAAATAAACAACGCTGTGCACCGAGACAACTTAACACACACCACAAGGCCTGCTTACCTCACACACACATAAATAAACACCCAGAAAACAGCTTGACTTTAAACAGGATTTTTAAAGACCCACTATATTACCATTAGATGACTTTTTAAAGGGTAATTACGACCTTTTTTTCTACTATGATCTATTACTGTTACTTGTTAAGAAGGCATTGTGGCAAATCTTTATGCTTAAAAATAAAGCGGTTTCCTTCGATAACTTCTATCCAGCAGCCAACAGAGGTCAGTGATCACAACCAGAGTTCAACCAAAACAACTACACACTTTAAACATACTGAAAAAGATCTGAATTGATATTTAGAGGCCAGCTGTAAACCTTCAAGGGCATATTTGTCCTTAACACCTGCTGATCCTGACACACACTAATCCACACACTTCCCCCCAAAGTCACACAGTGCCACACACAGAAAACACAAAACCTAAGTGACAACTTTGCAGCCCGGTGTTGCGGTTGCTGAGGGGAAATTGTGCCATCTGCCATTAAACAACACTCATTTTACCCCTACTGCTCGTCCATCTGTGGATGTGGGGAACTCTCCTGGAGGCCAGAGGGCCACGGGGGAGACAAGACGCAGGCCAGAGACGCCTACGAGGAGCAGTCCCAACTGGACAGCAATGAATTGTCAACATTTGAGATTCTTACTTTTTTAAAAATCAATTTGAACCTGAAATTTGGGGATTTTTAATAGTTTCACATAAAATAAAAATGTAGATTCAACCCTGAAATGCAGAGTAGTCCTCTTAGCCAAAGTAAGGGTGTGTCTGATATTCCCTTGTTGGTATTTCTGCATCATCATAGTAATGTTGGTCCGGGATCAACATTCAAACTGACCAATCACGTTGTTGTAATGGAAAAAAGGGAAAACTGTTTTTTTTTTAAATATTAAAGTCTATTCTTAAACCAATGATAAGCATTTTAAGTTTATTCTTTATTAATTTACACAACACAATAAACATGTTGTCAAGTTAGCTTGATAACTGTTGATGTGCCAGTGTTTGTTTTAGCATTAGCATTAGCATTAGCCAAATTCTTGGCTAATGCTAACTCAATGCTAAGTCTTGGCTAATGCTAACTCAATGCTCATGTCATTGATCACTTTTAAGATGATGTGTGAACAAAACCAACACAGGGATATAAGATCACGCCAAAAGAACCAGCAGGAGATGCAGTATACATACCTAAAGTGTCGATTTTTTTTGATGCTATATAGCATAACATTGACATTACTATATTTACTACTATTTCTGCTACGACTGAAAGAAAAACAGCTAACAACACTTCCATGACAACCCCCCCACCCCCCAAACATTAATTTGTGCCAGATATTTAAGTGAAACAAATCTCAGAAATAATATCCAGATCACAACAGGACTTCCAAGTTTCACGAAGGCTGTAAAGAAAGTACCCACTTAACATCAGACGTTGGTGTATTCGCTGTTTCTACACTGGTCAGTCAAAGGTTTTCTTTCTTTAGCCCAAAAATATCATCTGAAAATGTTTATATTCTATCTGATTTGGCCCAAGATGTGTTTGTTTTGGACCTGCAAATAGGGCCTGTAAATGGTCCCCCCCCTGGAAGAAATAATACAAACTTTAGCAAACATAACAACTTTAAGATGTGGTTGAAAAGCCAAATGTGACAGAAAAAGAGTCTTTTCAGCTCTCTGAAAGGACATTTTAAGAAAAAGATGCTGCTTTACATGCAAACCCACTGTGCAATTTGAATCAAAAAATGACATTTAGATCGACCTCATGTGCCTACACCCTCATCAGAAACACACGATCATAAAAGGACCTAAAGGAGTATCGCCACAACCCACTTTGTTTGTGTGTTGAGCTAATCAGCCACTCTAAAACACCATGTCTATGATCTTAGGGGTGTGTGACCATAAGGCGCTATGACAATCCAGAGGACTGAATGAATAAGGTTGCCATGCAACGCACCACTGAAAAGGAATTAAATTTACATGTAGATGTAAATAAATGGGCAAATACATCTAACCTTCATGTAGCTGTCCTACATTCAAAAAAAAATTGTGCCCAAAAATGCTGGGAGCTTAACAGCGAAAGCTCAGAGCTGTTTAGACGTCTAGCAAAACCCATTTCTATCCAGCAAGTTTTGACTGGGTGGTTAATTATGAAGGTGAACAAAGAGTCTCGCGTTTTCAGTTTGATTCTAAGGTAAAAAGCTTTCCACTGCACCAGGAAGCGTCCTTGGCAGAAGCACTGCTGCACGTGTTATCACCACAGCTATCCACTTGACATCAGATGAATCATCACACCCCAACATTAGGAACTTGAAACAATATCCTCCTCAGAGCCGTGGGCTCCGCGTGCATTTGGCTGCAGGTACACGAAGATCACAGCCTGAACACTCGCCACCCAGAGGGGGGTAAAAAAAAAACACAGACACACACTCAGCTTTTTGGATGATCCCACGCATGAGAGACTGTGATGGCTTCCAGCAGGGAAGGCAATCAGGCAGACAGAATCACACATTGTCTTTCCTTACATTATGCGTTTTACACGAGAGAGGGCGGGGGACAAGTCTCTTTTTAAGACGCTGGATGCAGAGGATAATGTGGCTATTTAGCAGTTATCTCTCAAAGCTGTGTTCATTATCACTGATCAGCAGATTAAGTCCCACAAACGCAAGTCTCTACTTCGGTGACTTAAGTCCAAGTCTTGAATCTCAAAGTCTGCATCTCTGCTCTGACCTCAGTTATTTGGGCGACAGCCAAAACAAACTGTACACACAAAAGCAGCAGTTAGAAAAGCTGTAATACCACGATCTTTTACACACATGCACACAGTGTCTCAGCTTGCGTAAGACAGCTGGGCCCTCTCCAGCAGGCGCCCCGGCTCCTCGTCTTTCTTAATGCGCTGTACCGTGTAAAGAGTGTCAAAGACTCATTTTAAATAACCCTCACATAAAAAGGGAAAAAAAAGGGAGGGGAGAGAAAGAAGTGTTGGCTAACGCCTACGAATAAAGATTACTCTGTGTTGTTTTTTTTTTCTTTAATAGCAATATGGAGAGATTAAAGCAAACGCAGTCAAAGTTTATTTTGGATTGATCTTTGGGTATTTCTCTGCCTCGAGAACAAAGAGGGAAAATCTCGCTAAGCTCAGCGAACCGAGAAGAGGCCAATTAAATCCTCCTCGGACAAAAAACGTCATAAAAAATTTTTGTTGAAAAAGAGAAAGGACTCCATTCGCATAAACAGTAAATGGGACTTTTAAATACCATTGTTTGAAGTGATGAACACAGAAAAATTAATGTCTTTCAAAGAACATGGAAAAGAAAGCAATGAACAAGAGTGCACAAGAAGCACTGTTTAATGACCTTTTTAATGTAAAGCCAACATGTGGATTATTCAAATCACAATTAAAAAAAGGAGCTGGAACCACTCAGAGTTTGGTATTTTTAGCTAATAATATAAATCACAAAGCATTAAAGGGCATCTTTGCTCAAATTGTTCTCTAAAATGATGTTGCAATAAGTTTGAGGCACAAAATTCAAAATGAGTTTTCTCAGCGTCTTAAGCAGACGTAGGACAATTAATAATGTGGCATCAGCAGTGTGGGGTTGGATGTGTGTCTCCTACCTGTGGGCTGAGCAGTGGGCAGCCCGGCTGGAACGACGGTGAGAGGAAGCAGGAGAGAAAGCCAGAGTGAGCACCACAGAGCAGTCATTCCTCTGGGCGAAGAGGTCAGACGCAGAGCAGCGAGGCCCGACTCCAACTTAGACAACATCCTCCGTTCGCATACTGTCCAGCAGAAGGGCGGCTGCAGATGCCGCAAGAATCTGTCCGACAGCTCCCCACCACGGACCTGAAACAAGCAGCAGAATCAGTCAAAGAGAAGCCAGGATGTCCATTCAGACTACAAACACAGAAATCAACACAGTCTGAAACTTACAAAAACCAACAACAAATGGCTGTACATTGAACGCAGTGCAACAAAGCGCCTTGGGGTCTGTGCATATGCTAACGTGTTTTGACCTGACAGTCCACACAGATTTGAAAGATTAGACAGGAAATCCCTCTTCAAAGTTTTTTCTTAGCAACTTTCTCTGAGCACCTGGTTCTTAGGATGGGAAAACAGAAATTCCGACATACGAACAGCTCAAAGTGAAAACTTCAGAACCCTAACGTGAGTCCAGAAAGTTCAACAATCAATCAGTTAACTTGCTCATTGTTACAGAGCTAAACAGCCTGACGCTCTTTTCCCAGGGACTCGTTTCTTCTCGACAAAGTCACCCTCCGTTATCAGAGTGCTCGGGAAGCATGGAGGCTACAGAAAGGGATAGCAGAGTGTTCAGCCCCTAAGTTTTGCCGAGAAAGGAAAAGTTGGAATGCCCAGTGAGATGTGAGTGAAATGCCCAGAAAAGTAAAAGAAAAATCTCCCCACACGAGCACACGTAAACACACATGGTACCACTATTAACCTAAACGTCAGAGGGTCTGTGAATCTTCTGAATACCTTTGGTTGTGGAACGTCCACCTTAACACACACACTCCTACGGAGACGTTTATTGAATACACATGCTAACATTACAGAACGAGCTTCACTTGCACACACTGAGGTGTATTGCACACAGACACGCAGTCAAAAGAAAGGTTGTGTTGTCTTAAGTCTTAACAGTACTGTTTTTCTTTCCCTTGCAGGACCTGTGACCCACTCCTCGCTCAGCACAACTGCGAGGACGCATTTGCACGTTATCGAGCTTCAGTAAAGAAAAACACAGACTAGGGGACACTTCACAAGACACACGTGGATAAATAAAGCAGCACACACACACACACGGTGTCCTAATTTAAACAGTGCCACCGCACCTTTTACCCGTCAACATACTTCAGCCTTTAATGTTCTCCTTATGAACTCCCAGGAGTCCTTCTATTCCCGTCTCAGCCCATCCTCACCTTCTTACAACACGAGACGCCTACATGCTGCTGAGGTTTGTTTATATAGCACAATAAGGCCTTCGCTCTCAGGCCGTGGAGGTGGCTGATTACAGGCCTCTCTAAATCTAAACTTTTGTTTTCTCTGGTAGGCACAGAAACAGACACACACACAGAGATAAATATATATATATATATATATAAAATAGTAGCTTTTTACAAGGCAGTACACTTGGAGAGCTGACAGGGCTTCAGAGTTGGTTCATATAACCCGTAGATCTGTTTAGACAAGTAGCATGACAGCCTCTCAAACCATGTGAGAAGAAGATCGAATACAATAGCAGCATTGACTAATCTGCTGTCAGGTAGGGGTTTAGACTAGGCCAGAGTCCAAGGCGAGTGTTTGAATCTGAAGAGCAGCAAAGTGCTGCAGTGTAATTGATGCATTTAGGGTGAAATAAATGACAGCCACGTGCAAGAGCAGTAATTAATGTGTGCCCCTTATTACACACAACTACCTGATATCCTCACTGAAAATGAAACCCTCATACACAGCACAACCAGCTAAAAACACTTTGATATCACTTAACAACCTCAAATAGCTGAGTAGAAGAAGAAGAGGAGGTAATATGGATCCCAAAGACCGAGGGAGGAGTTCAAAGCCACAAATTTTCATGCTAATATTTTCTTAAAGCATGGCAGGGAAACACAACTACGGCGATGAATAAGGCATGAGCATTAATCATGCAGGACTAACTTCACATTGTAATAGCTCAGGGGCGGAAAAGCGCTTCAACCCGGGTTCAAATCCCTGTCATCCCTCTATCCTCAGTGAGGAGCGACGCGAGGAAGTCACATGCTAGTCACACCTCCATGGAGTGTCAGCAATCTTTAATAATTAAGTCGGATAATCAGCGGCTGGGGCCGGATCAGCTCTGTGTTCTTGGTGGGGAAAAAAGGGAGATTAGAGGGGTTTTTTTTGGAGAGTGGAGCCAAGTGGAGGTTAGATGGGTAATAAAGAGACACACAAGTGGGTCATCTTCCTTTGCAGCACGCCTTTCTCCACTCCAGCTTTTTTCTTTTGCAATGCAATGCATGTCTCACACCCACCATCTCCCTTCGGCCTGTCCCTTCACGACTTCTTGCCTGCCTTCATAGCTGAGCCACCCTCTCTTCAGAGAGCTCGCTCGAACGAGTCCTCAGGTGAGAAGAGATATTGATCAGCTGAGAGGCAGAGGAGAGCTCGGCACTTCAGAGCTGTCAGAGGTTCAGGGGTGACTCCGGGCTCAGCTCACCTCGGGCTGACACTCAGACGGGCGGCGTCTCGTCTGAGACTCGGCCTGCACATGGAAAAAGATCCGAACGCCAGGGCTTTGTCCTCTGTGTTAAAGCAGAAGATACAGATGGACTGCGAAGTCCCTTTTGAAATTATAAAGACTACACGAAGTGCTGCTAGCAGACACTGGGGGACATTAAAATGTTATAAATCGTACTAAGGTTGGTATAAACTCAGCTTTTACTACCTCTGACATGTGAGAATCCTAATTACAGGGGAACAGAAAGACTAGAAGTCCTTACATATATAGGCACAAATTTTATATCAGAGGTACAGTGTAAAACTCAGATAAGGTCACATAAGTTTATTTTCTTTAAATAGCTGGAAAATGAAAGCAAATGAGTGTTTGTGCATGAAAGTAATGATCCTTTTTCTCTGTCAAATTAGACAAGCTGAAGCAGATTAATGAACCCTTCTCTTTATGAACGAGAAGGAAAACGTAAAGGCACTAAACCAGGAGCAGAGCGATGGTCTCGGGCCAATTTCACTAATGAAAAGAGGCAATCAGAGTCTCATTTGGAACCGAAAGTGTCTGAGGTTCGCCTCTGATTGAAAAAGCTGCACACTGGCACGCATTATTTCTCGGGTCAATAGATACAATTAATTTGGAGCATTAGCACAACTATTATCGGCCGCACGCTTGTTTATGACAGCAATTTTTTCCTTTTTTTTTTTTTTAATAAGCTAAAGCAACAGAGCCCAAATCTCATTTTCAGCGTCTCTCTCGCAGGACGCAATAATCTAATAATTTTCTTCGGGTTGGGAGTTGACATGGTGCGAGTCAAAGCCGAGCTGAGTGGCCAAAAAGGAGAAGAATAAAAAAAAAAAAAAATCACCATCTGAATCCCATTGATGCGCATGTGTTTGAAGAGGGGATGAGTGATCTGCTGCTGAGGGGAGAGAACCGCACAGTTCATTCACTGAGAGGGAGAGGAGGGGGGACAATCCGCCGCTTTCTAACTTCAGAGATGATCAGAGGATTTGGGGGAGTGCGGCTCTGAGAAAGAGATGTGCAATTCATATTTCAGCGCCAAACCTGAGAAGACGTCACTACTGCGGTGAGGAGAAACGGCGTGCCCATCCTAATGAGCACGGGGATGGCTGGATTATTTATTTATTTATTTAAAAAAAAACAAAAAACTACAACATAAAATCAGGATAGGTTCGATTCATTCTGAATGAAGAGCGAGCTCACCTCAAACGAAATCTGGCAGGTATCGCCACAAACCACCCTTTGTGTAAGGATAAGCGTGCGTGATTTCATTTGGCCTCTTTCTTTCTAAAACACTCAGTTTCACAGTTTTCCTCATTAGTGGATTTTTCTGTAAATACTAAAAAACTGGAAAGGATGAAGGGAATGACTTTGGATGTGGAGAGAACGCTTTAGCGCAAATTACTTTTTTCCCCTCACTGAAAAATCAACCAAACTCAATCAACTGCTGGAAAAAGCATACCCGTTTCCCAACCCAAATATGTTTTACAGTATTTTTTCCACTCGTTTTTTTCTTACAGCGTGCGTAATTTCAGCAACACACACACACCTTCACAAGCTACAACAGAAGCCGCTTTGCGCTCCTGCTCCGAACCCGTGGCAATAGATTTGCGCACTGACTGTTGATTCCTCCAGAGTCTGCTGACACCGGCCAAGACGCGCCAATTGCGCACAAACAGTGACCTCCACGCCACCTGTGCTGTGGCACAGCCGCGGGGCTGCTTCACGACTCACGCAGTGTACACAGTGCTCAAAGCTCTAACCTGTCCACATCTACAAGGAAGTGAAGCTGTGAGACTTATGTGTCTGAGTCTGCGTAACCTGCTTGTAAATAATAATAGTAATAATAATAATAATAATAATAATAATAATGATAATGATAATAATAATAATAATAATATTTACCCACAGTATCCCGTTTTGACAGAAAAGATCAGCCTTCAGATTTTAGATGGCACCAAGCTTTCCTTTGGTGAAATAGCCTCTAATCTCCGGTAAACTTCACAAAAACCCACAAAACTACTTTTAAATCCTCACGTTCCAGCGCTTGGAGCAGTTTAGCGACAGCGGAAAAAAAGAGTCACAAATCCCCCCCTCACGACTTGAAGGCGAGTGTCTTCGCCAACTTCTCTCCACTAAATCCCGTCCTCCGCCGCGCGCTGCTGTCCGCGTTGTCCAAAGTGTCCAGTCCTGCAAAGTCCGTTCATCCTGTCCTGCGAGGGGGCAGAGTGGACGAGGCGGACGGGGACGCGGGATGCGCGGTTCCTTTGCGTCTCCTCCGGCGCAGATGCCAGTTTCGGTGCGTTTCGTCGCTTCTGATCAACCAACGCAGAGTGGTGACTCTTCTCCTCTCGCTGTCTGAGAAGTAGGAGTTGCAAGGTGCTGCCGTCAAGCGTGCACGGCTGGGAAACACGAGGAGTTCCAGGTTTACTTTCAAAATAAAATCCTTGGCTCGGATCCGATGACGCATGCTTTGCTCGGAGGCACTCATTCAATTATGAAAATGCAGGAAAGGTAAGAAAAAAAAGCACTCGCCAGCCTACGAGCCATCTACAAAGGAGCTCTGTAATGCAGCAATGGTTATATCTTATAGTTTCATGCACTTTAGTACTTGTGTGCACTTAAATAAAAGTCTTTATTATGTTTTTCTGTTTTTTAATTGCATTTTTTTTTTTGCTTAATTGCTCACATCCTATTATCATTGTTAAGTTGTGAATCAGTGTATTTGATGAGATTTTCATCAAATACACTGAATGCATTCTTCAATAAATGAATATGTAAATTTAAATTTCAAATATGTTAAAATGATATACCAACAGAGCCATCTGAGGAGACAAATAAGTGAAACACAGCTGGCTGTCGTTAGCAGCAAACTGGCGCTCAATTAAATCAGCCTGGCGGACTCAATTGAGTCATCAAAAAGAGTCCTATTCAATAAGGCGACTAGATATCAAGCTTTTATTTTGAAGGCGGAACCTTCGCGTGCACGATTGTGTGACGCTCATCTCTCCTCTTGAGTCCAAGATGCCTCCCTCTGCCAGCCTGCGCGCCGCTGGGACAAACAGCAGCAGCGGGGGAAGGGCGATCAGATTTCGGCGCGCCGCCCCTCCGGGGTCCGCTAGAGGCAGCCGGTGATGGATGGTCCAAGCGCCTCCCATCTCTTTCTTTCAAACTTGAGAATCCTGAGCTGCTTTATGAGCCCCGAATTTTTTGTCTGACACTCAGCGTGGGTACAGAGGCACCAGTAGATGGCTCTGAGAGGTAATGAGGACAAGCGTGCTGTATGGAAATGAATACAGTGTCCGCACATGGTGACTGACCGCAGACTTTTAGTTATCTATAAGAGTGAGGGGGATCTCAACCAGTTCCGTTCACTGAAAAAACTTATACCAGAAAAAGTCTTTGGATCAGAAGTTTGTTGAATTTATATTTTGTCCATCTGAAGTCCTGGATATAGCAAATATGAGAAAACCCCCACTGTAAAATATTTTTAACTTCTTTATCATTTATTTTTTTAAAAGGTGGGAAACTAAATAAAACACACTCTCGTAAAACACCCACCTTTGTGAGCTTCTGATGTAGCCAGTGTTCAAAAAGCTTCTAAGTAATACTGATGGCTGCCATCACTTCTTTTACTCGTCTCCCTGACTGTTCTCTATGATTCTCAATATCAAAGAATGTTGCAGCCAGTGGTTTTCGGGGTGCATGGTGCATACAGCGTAGCTCTGCGTAAGCACCATTAAAGCTGAGGGATACATGCCAAAAGCAATGCATTTTCAGTAAGCTTTGCTGATCTTTGTCTTGTCAGCAAATCTGCTGATTCAAAATTTACCGCCTCTATTTTCCACTGTTAAACATTCTTAAATATGTACTTTTCCCTTAAGTAGGTTTATTGCTGTCTAATAATTACAGCTCACTGTGGAAACTGTAAGTCATGCGATAATCTGTCAGAACTGTCATTCAAGATTGAGACCAGCCAATGCAAATGTTTGACCAGTCAGACCCCAAAGTGTGCTGAGTGAAGAGCAAATTACCATTAACCACCCATTTAATCTGCCATATACTGCAGCCTTTGGCTAATTACCGCTGTCAGGACAGAGGCGATAGCACCCGACTCTGCGTCAAACAACACACCAATTACCGACATCTCTTAAACTGTGTTTTGAGAAGGCAACTTTATGACACCATAAAGCGCAGCAGACCTCTGCTAAGTGGCTGCGAGGAAGGTTGAGGAGTGTGCCGCTATTTGTTCAGCAGAGGTGGGCTCCTCGGCAATGATTTGTGACAATATGTGTCAGACGTGCACGAACTGACATACGTGTGAGAATGAATGAAGGTTTTTAGACATGGATCTAAATTACATACATGATATAGATGTTTGGGTGCTTTAATATTTGCTCATTAGCTTTAATAGACAAAGAATTCTGCTTTATTTTGTATTTTTTTTACATACATCATGCATACAGGTGATACTGTACCCGTGCTCGACCTCATGGGAAAGTCAAATGGTGAAAGAACAAAGAGGTCCTCATTAATGTTGGTGAAGACGAAGAGCGCAGACTAATGATGAAGGCCAGTCCCGGTGACCCTTCGTACTACAGAGCTCTGTGAGAAACGCTGGTGGGAGGGAGGCAAGCTCGGGAACAAAAGCCAGTCGGTCGGGAGGAGAGGTCATACAGATGGTGAGAATGCTCAGTCAGACAGCTCAAGTACTGATGGGCAAACTGACCAAATGACCTCTTTGTGCACACACACACACACACACACACACACACATGGACACACACACGCACACACATAAACAAAACTCCTCCCAGCTCCCCCACGACACTCTAACTTCTAATGAACTCACACAAACATATGTATTCACACACATAATACACCCCCCTCCACCCAAACACACACACACATACAGACACTTACACCCCCCACCCCACCCCTCGAGGGAATAGATCAGCAGGAGATGAAAGGTGAAGCCTTTTCATTTAAAATGGAGTTAAAAATTAAACAACAACAACAACGCTGAGTCCTTAGAGTTTAACTTGATTATCCGAAGACTGGCATGCCCAGAAGAAACCGACAGCTTCAATAAATTCTGTGTTTTTCCTCTTTTTTTCTTTTTCACCCATTACATTATGCAGCTTATCACGGCACATATTTTCACTGATAACCCCAAGTAGCAGGCAGCCCTGATTGTTTTCTCTTTGGGCCTCGTCGCAGCACACTGCCTGTGTGGGCAACAGCCAATTGACTCGCACTGGCTTTGTCTGTAAGAGGTGCACAAAAGCAGCAGGGCTAATCATTAACACCGGAGTTTCGGGCCAGACAAAGATGCAGCACAATGGGAGGGAGTCGATCTCCGAGGTCACTCGGCAGTGCTTTCTTGGTCCTGCACATACGCTAGTGACCAACTGCTGTCGTCACACGCACCCGCTAACATACTGTATATCAGCGGCTCTCAACAAGGGGGTTGTGACCACTCCGGCGAGACACTATATGACTCACAGGGGCTGTGAGATGAATGATGGGATTGGAAACGAGAAACAACAGTTTTATTCTGAGAGAAAACGTTCCCAGACACAAAGTATGTGAAACCAGAGACAAGCGCGCCCAAGCAGGCGCAATCCAAAAAGGTCAATTATCTGGAAGCGAGGTTACACAATAAAACAAACTGGCTTCTAATTTTATTTACATTTTATACACAGCCCCGACTGTTGGATATCTGTTTGACTTGCTGGAACTTGTAGCTTTCACTTCGGTTTTATCACTAGCTGCAAACCGTGCCAGAGTTTTTTGAGGCCGTTTATGTGTATTGAAAACAGTGGTGCTATGCTGCTAACATGACAGCTTGTCATCAGGCTCTGTTTCCTCAGATCTCAGTGCAAACAGGACAGCTTGCAGCAAAATCACACGTCGGTGCATTTGCATAATTTACATTAGTTCAAGAAGTATGGGTGACTATTAATCCAGGCTAATAAAACAAACAGGTTTGCCAGGTTCATAATAAGCACAACCTATTTACTATTTACCATGATCAGTGCAACCAATAGGGCTTTGCCTCGCCTTAGTTTCAGCTGCAACAATATAATACTAATACTATTTTTTAGATCACAAAATAATTTGGGGCATTGGTAGTATGGCGTTTTTTCCCAGCATCTTTTAGAGCAAGCTTATTGGCAATCGAGTAGTTGTGCGACCAAACCCAAGAACACAGGGAAACAGTCGATGCGAGTGCATGCGTGCAGCGACTCCCTTGTAACCACAAATTGCGATGGGCGCCCACACCTCAAAGCGAAATGAGGCTGACAGGTTCGAGGCACAGTGTGAGGTGAGCTGAACACTCTCCTGAGGCTCGGCGGGGTTCCAGCACACAGTTTTGTATTGTCTCTCCTCTGCTGGGCGTAATGGCCTCAGTAATGGGAGCTTTTTAGAGAAAAGGTTATAGAGCACAGCCAGTCCACCTGTTTGGCACAGTCACTGCCATTACACCTCTCTAGAAGACCACTGAGCTGCAAGTCATTTTCGCTCTATGGGCTGGTGTTTTCGTCACTGTGAGAGTGGAGAGCTTGTTGGTGAAGTTGCAAAACAGACAGCTTGAGTCTGAGCCCCGGGACGTTTGTGCAGAGTAATGCATCTAAAGACCGAAAAGAGTAAATCACAACATAACTGTGCTCTCAATGTGGCATTGAGCCGCACAACGACTCTGTGGTCTCTTTGATGAAGACCTCGATTGTCACTTTCTCTAAATAATATAAGAATATGGTTGACTATTAATAGTAGAATGCCTTGAAAAAAGTTTTCCCTCTTTCTAATTCCTTAGTCTTGCATTTTTGTAATGCATGCATGTTTGAGAAAATTCCCCCAAAAGGCTGTTTTAAAAAAATATTTTATTTATTAAGGGAAAAACTATTATTCCAACGTAGCTGACCCCGTGTGAAAAAGTAATTACCCCGAAACCTAGTAGGTGGTTGTGCCGGTAAAGATCCCAGACCATCACACGACCACCACCATGTTTGACTGGTGGTATGATGTTCTTTTTTGAAGTGTTGTGCTTTTACAACAGATGTAACGGGACTCAAACCTGCTACTTTTGTTTTGTCAGTCCACAAAACATTTTCTTAAACGTCTCGAGGCCCATCAGGATGTTGTTTGGCAACAGTTAGACGAGGCTTTGTGCGCTTTGGTCCGCAGTGGTTTCAGCCCTGGTCTCTTTCTTATTGTCTCATGATGAACGCTGACCTTGACTGAGTGACGTCACACCTGCATTCCTGGGAACGTTCACCATCTTTTCTCCATTTGTAGATAAGGGCTCTCATCATGCCAAAGCCTTCGAAATGATTTTG